CCCTCGACGAGTGTCATTGTATTGATGAAGATGAACTATCCATTCCACAAAATTGGCAGAAGAGAAAATCGAAATTTGGAGGAATTTTTGGTAGAGACGAGAACGGAGAATTCAAAATTTGGAGAGCTAAAAGATGATGCAAAGCTGGAAGTTAAAATGAGTGCAATGGTGAAATTCTTCAACTTGAACCACCATAAATCAACCGCTATAAATTCGAGCTACAAACTATAAACAAGCGCTTGTTGGGAGGCAACCTAATGCTTCTTCCCTTTTATTTATTCAGTTTTATGCATTAGATTATGAATTTTTCATGTTTTTGGTAATTTTAATAATATTAAGTCATTCATCGTCTTTACAGGTCACAAAGAGTTTATGCATGGTCCAAACTATTTTTTGGAGGAATTCTTGGTAGAGACGAGAAAGGAGAATTCAAAATTTGGAGAGTTAAAATAGGATGCAAAGCTGGAAGTTAAAATGAGTGCAATGGTGAAATTCTTCGACTTAAATCACCATAAATCAACCGCTATAAATTCGAGTTACAGACTATAAACAAGCTCTTGTTGGGAGGCAACCTAATACTTCTTCCCTTTTATTTATTCAGTTTTATATATTAGATTATGAATTTTTCGTGTTTTTGGTAATTTTTAATAATATTAAGTCATTCATTGTCTTTACAGGTCACAAAGAGTTTATGCATGGTCTAAACTATTTTTCCCCACCATCCTCACCGTCTCATCCATACTGACCAGGAGAGTATCCCGAGCCCTATTTTCTTTATCTTTATGTGCATTTGTCCTTTAATATTGAATATTGAAGACAATGTTCTGTATAAGTTGTGGGGTGGGAATATTTACATGGCATTCATCATTTTATTGCAGTTTTTGTGTGATTGTGAGTTAAAAAAAAGATTTTTTTTTGCAGTTTTTATTCATTTATTTTCTAGTATTAAATTATAATTATATTTTTGCGTGTTTATGTGGGTTTGATGACCTCACTGGCTATGATGTTGAATATTGGAATATGTATGAACTATGAATAATGGAAATAGTGCACTATTAGATTAGTCAAAACTTGTTTATGAGAAAATTGACATTTTTATGCACGATACTCATGTTTGACATATTTGGTTGGTGATCTAGTTCATTACTTAGAGAATAGTTGAACATAGTAAGCAAACCCGAATGATGTCTATTGTATCACTTCATAATCTAAACATAGAGTAGTTTGGAGATAGTTGAGCTGTTATAAGGGAACATTGAGATGAGTAGGGATTTCGTGTATGATATTATCTTGTGTAGATTGTCTAAAATCAATGATATGAAGACGAGATAAAAGTCTTAAGTTAGGGGTTAATTTTAGAAATTGAGTGTCTAAAAGAAAAAAGGGGCATTGCACTAATCTCTGTGTGAACGAAAGCATTTTCTTCAAGCCTCTCTAACTCGAGTTATTAAACCTGTAAGGATGATTTAAAACCTGGAGCCCTATTGTCATCTGATTTGAAAGTTATCGGTCTAAAACTCGCTGCATGAGTTATATAAAAAGCAAATGAGAAGATGTTTAGAAAAAAAACATGAATAACGAAAGCAAAAACATTATATATAATTATATTGATTAAGCCCCAAGACATTTGGTTGATAGAAATATCTTTGATACGAGGCAAATAACTCAGTCTAGTCTTAAAGATTGAAGCGATCAAAACTATATGAGAATCTTGGCTCGTTGAAGTGTGAACTTGTAATAGTAAGATCAATCCAAACTAAGAGAGGGTAAGGAGTAGAACTAAATGAGTTCAACTTAAGATGTATCCTGGGAAAATTGAGCGAAAAAAATAAGTTTGGGGTATGTGCATCTCTCGAGCGAAGTAAGGAAATATTTGACTACTATGGGTCAAGTATTGAGTCAATCATGAGCTTGAGATGTTTGTATGAATTTACACACACACGTCGAATTATGCATATAACAGGTGGAGATTGATTTGATTTTTACATTGTTTAAATTGTTCAGTTTGTTGATTACTAAATTCCAATTATGAGACACGGCAAGTCGTTAAACCATGTTTTATGTGGAATTATTTAGCGACGAACAAAGGTTTTAGTTTGTAGGTGTTTGATAAGTGCATTTTTGTGCACTTATTCGAGGCTATATTACTAAGCTTTTGTGTCGTTTTATTATTGCATTTTACTTAACTTATGTTATTTTTATCTTATTTCAGTTTTAGACATGTTTCTAAGAAATTGGAAAAGAAAGAAGGATAAATCAGCCAATTGATGGAAGTTTCGGAACTAATATGCATTTGAGTAAAAGTTGAAGCACTAAAATTGAAATAATTTGATGTGGAGGATCAAGATGGAAGAAATAATGAAGAAAATGGCTGAAAATAAAATTTGCAAAAGTTTTATAACTGGGCAGCCACCCAGTTATATTGGTCGGGCGGCTGCCCAGCCATCAACATCATCAATAGAAGCCATTTTTTTGGCATGGGCGGTCGCCCCATTTTCTATTGGGCGCCTGCCCAGGCCAAATCGTGGAGAATATTCTAGTTTCCTTATTTCAATAGAACTCTTATGGAAACAAATATTGGGTCATGTATTTAAATCCTAGAGCCGTCCAGCATGAGGGGGTAACATATTCACAAGGGTTTTGAGAGAAGAAAATAGGCAAAAAACCAATCAGGAATCCAAAATTTCACTACCAACCACTCCCAAAATCAGGGGGGCATCATGATTAATAAATCCTTGCTACACTGTCCAACCTCACCACCAACCACTCCCAGTAAGACATGTGGCAGTAATGACATCAGCACCTATTTTTCAACCAATTACAAGCAAGGGATGATTATCCAGTGTCATGTCATCATTACATGTCGCCATAGTTGAGGCATAGACACCATGATGGCCTGCTTGGCTGACCTAACAAACCAATCGGGAATCCAAAATTTCAGGGAGTGGCACCTTAGGTTGATAATGTAGCTAAAAAAATCCTTGAACACGCAAGTAGCTTGGGTTTTTGTCTTATAAATAGGGCCAAATGGTTTACCCATCGAGGAGAGAGTTAAGATACCCCTCTAAAAACACTCCCAAACAACTTTTCTCAAAGAAAATATCCTATATTTGGTATCAATTCTAGCGATTATCAATATAATTTCCGTTTATGTTGATCTAATTGTCACATCATTTTTAGTCATTAACTAGTGTGATAAAAAGTATCGCAACTAAAAGAAGTTGTGTTGGTAATATAATTACCACGTACAAGTTTACAAAAAATAGAAATTACATATCATAAAAAATGTTGATACATGAAAATGGTAGGTATATTGACACCATAATTTTTATTTGTCGCATACAATTTAATTGCAGTAAAGGTCGTCAACCTTTCCTCATTACTACACTTGTGTCCTTAACTCTTATTTCGTGCTATTTTTATCATTGACCTTCTATTAATTGATATATCTTGTCCATGAATGAGGTGTGAAACAGGACGAGCTGCTTTCATGCTCATTTTGGCTTAGTTCATGGACTGTTCGGGTTCGTATTCAGATGAGTCATGGTTTGAGTTGAGCTCAAATTTTTGTCATGAGCAAAGTATGGAGCTAGCTCGTAAGCTAGGTCCATGAGTTGGCTCGTGGGCTATATGATTGTTTGGCCCAAAGGTCGATTTTTTTTAAAGGGTCACTTTTTTAATATATAAACCTTACCCACTTCATTTTTTTTTCATACAACTCCACCTTCTCAATCTACAATTGTTATAAGCTCCATATTTAGCTCTTTTCTTATTTGAGTTTTATGTATAATTCTAGTATAAATTTTATTATTCTCTCTCTCTTTTTATATATTATTCCAAACGGATTATATCAATGCCTTGTCTTCATCTTCAAACTTCACATCAAATTGATTGAAAACACTAATGATCTAATTGAATACGTTGATATGTTATCTCAAATCCGAGACCCCCTCATCTTAAGAGTTTCTGTTTAAAATAAAGCTTGTTCGTCAACGAAACGGACATATACTAAGTTTTCAGCTTCATCTAAGCTGTCACAAGTGATTCTTCATCCAACTGTCAGCTTCAAAACCTAAAAGTAACCATGGACTTTGCTTCAAGTTCCTTCCAATCTATGTTATCCATTCCTTCTGACTTCTTTCAGTATAATT